CGTCTTCAGCAGGGGTAGTTTCACCTTTAGTAAGCCAATTAGTGGACCCTTTGAGGACGCACAGCCTGTTGGGTATATAAAGGTAGTCACTCCTCCTCTTCTCTGACATGTCACAGCATGGATACGAGTCTGTCCTGTCCATAATCTTGACCTGTGTTGCAGCAGAAACATCCAGCAGATTTGGATCTTTCTACAGAGGTAGCTACTCGCCTCAACCTCGTGGACAGAGACGCTCCTGCTGTCGGTCTGCCTGACACACATTCTGCACATACAAGGCACAGTGAGGAAGACATACCCAGACTGACCAAGGTAAGAGTCTGTGTTTAATGTGGACTTTTTATGCTGAGATTATTTATTTATTTATTTTTAATGTGTATATTGTCTGTGTGTGTGTGTGTAGGAAATGGCAGCGGAGGTGAGTGGAGCTTTGGCTCAAAGTGATCCCAACCGTGTCCTGAGTGCAGCTTTCAAACTTCGCATCACACAGCGAGACCTGGCTACACTACAAGAAGGCAGCTGGCTCAACGATGAGGTGAGAAAGTAGAAATGCTGGAAAGGTTTTTAAATAGAAGATTTCATGGTTATATTTCATGGACAGTTATTTAATCTAAAAGCTCTTGAAAACTTCACAAAAAAGTACACAGCACAAGCACAAAAAGTCAAAAACAGGACAAGAGCAAGTTTTGCACAAAAACAATGGAGGAAACAATCATGTCTATATTTACCTTGATTTTCTTGTTTTCATAATTGTTAGATAATTGTTGTTGGTTAATGTGAGTGCTTGATTTTTATTGTGTGACGCATAAATTTTATTTATCACGCCCAGGCCAGGCAGCCTTATAAGGCTCCAGTGACAAAGGAGCTGAGCCAGGGGACTAACTAGATATTCTTTATTAATCATAAGGGCAGTACAAAAGAAGGTGTAATTCATTCTCAACCTCTCATAATCCCCATAGCCTCTTGCCATCCTAGAGTTCAACAGTGATGTTTGGCATAATTTGAATACATCTTCACAATTTTGGCGTTAACAAAATATCTTAAGCATTTGTCTTTTAAATATATGTTTATCTTTCTTCAAATTTGATTCACATTGCTACTAAAATGTCATTGTAGAGATACTGTAGTGGTTCAGCTTCCTCAAAAACACCAAAGAGCTCCACAGCATTCTTTAAATCCCTGTTTTTTGCAGCATAATTTAATATAGAGTTGTCACATGCATCATGCATTTGTGTCCTAAGAAAAACCCAACATGTCAGCTAAATCTAGTAGCTTCATACTTTGTAAATGCATCAAGATATTTGTGTTGTTGTGTCTGATCCAGTGTTACAGGCCAGAGGTTTCTTGCTTCTTAGTGTGCCTTTTTTCCTTAAAATTAAAATTCTTACTTATTTAATTATGTTTGTAGGCCACCATCATCTATAGCACTAGCTGTTTAATACATTTAATGTCTTACAAATTATCTTCGGACTTAACCAGTAGAGTAATATCATCTGCATACAATCAAATGCCCAGGGCGAAATCATCCTATAAATTGGATTCCTTAATTCTAAGAGCTAAATATTTAAAATAAATTGTACACAGGGTAGGAGAAAGAACATCACCTTAATGCCAAAGAGTGTTAAACCAACCAGTATGCATATTATTCATTAATTGCATGTATAAATACTAATTTATGTTATTTTGTTGTAAATGTTGTTTTGTTAAAAAAGCTGTAGACTCAGATTATTCAATGTTTGTCTTTAATGAGTGTTTATGTATGCCATGTTTTATATTACAATTTTTGTGTTCTCCACCAAGGTGATGAACTTCTACCTTTCCCTGGTTATGGAGCGAAGCTCTGGTGAAGCAGGACGATTAAAAGTCTACTCCTTCAGCACCTTCTTCTTCCCAAAGTTAAGGGGTGGAGGAGGCGGGCAGGCTGGAGGACACGCTGCTGTGAAGCGCTGGACCAAAGCTGTCGACCTCTTCATGTTTGACCTCATTCTGGTCCCTCTGCATCTAGGCGTCCACTGGGCATTGGCTGTGAGTCACTTTGGATCTACCAGTTTTTGACATGCGCTGCCTAAAAATACCTGTAATATTGCAAAGGCTCACTCTGTACATCTGAACTGTGATCAGTATTTTTTTCTTGTCAGTCATTGTCACAAATCAAATGTTTGCACTGGTTTTATTCCAGAGAAGCAGAAGTGCACATTTTAATCGCTCACCTTTTTCTTTGCAGGTGATAGATTTTCGGTCAAAGACAGTGAAGTCTTATGACTCGTTGGGCCGGAGACACGATGATATCTCGAGTCTTTTACTGTGAGTCGTCAATTTTCTCTTAAGCTCCATTTTACTGGCTATGTTAGACATGTTTTCACTATAGATTTGTTTTTACTGAAGCATTATAAATGACGTAATTGTGCTGATTTTTCAGACTCTACCTTAAAGAGGAGCACAAAGCGAAAAAGGGTAGAGAGCTCGACTGCACCAAATGGACTGTTGGAAGCTTGAAAGCTAGTGTAAGTCTGTGATGAATAAAGTAACACTTGAAATGTGTTATTCCTCACAGTGAAATTAATGACTCTGTATTATGCATGTAGGAGATTCCCCAGCAGAAAAATGGAAGCGACTGCGGTGTTTTTGCCTGTAAATACGCTGACTATATCGCAAGAGGACAGCCCCTTATCTTTAAACAGGTGTGTATTCTGAAATCCCTGCCTTTCTTGGCACATTGCAGCATATCAGTGAATTGGTGTGAAACCATGTATGAAAGTCCAGTTTAAATATACATATGAACACATAACAAACGATATACAAATAACATCTGCCTCTTACTTTACAGTGCCACATGCCTCTCTTCAGGAAGTTGATGATTTGGGAAATTCTTCATCAGAAGCTGCTATCAAATAGAAGGGTCGCATCCATTGTTAATGGCCTACCAGAAGAGACTGGGTTAGTGGGAACAACCTCTCGTGTACAGTGACTACATGTGAAGTAAGAGAAGAATAAATGGGCCAAAGAAGTGGACTTTATCGACTGAGATCTAACCCAGTCTCGCTCTCCAGATCTGGAGTAACAAACACTAGTCTTAAGAGTTAATTGTTGCTTATCGTGTCAGGGACATGTAAACATTTTGTATTCTCTGAGTTGTAATTAGAGACAGTATTTGTAACAAGTGTGTGTCTTAAAGAAACTTTGGCACTACTGACTGAATGACTTGTCATTGATTGTGTTTCCTTATTGTTTGAAGTGCACCTGAAGTGCCTTAAGTCTTCTCACACTGAGCTCGGCATAGTTTTTTTGTTTTTTTCCCTTCAGTTGGGAAATTTGTTATTTACAACCCAACAATCTAGGTGTAGTTTACCCCTCCCAGCTATGATCAGAGTGGACAGCATTGACTGGGGTGAAACTTAATCTTTTTCTAAAAATATAGACAATGGCAATTAAAATACCTCCTCCAGACGTTTGTCTGACAAAACGTGCATGATTGAGTGCTTGTCGTAATGACAAGATGTATGATTCCCGATTATTTATGACTGGATGAGTGTATTTTGGAGTGTCTGTGTATAGTTTTTTTTTCTTCATGACTGGAGTAAATAGTTGTCTCTCCATATTTACCATAAAGCGCTGTTAGAGCTGTGAATCTGTTCAATAAGTATAGTGCAGCAGGCTATTTAAGGCTGTTACAAAAACTCGAATTATAGTATACTCCATTTAAAAGACAAACTACTGTACACACATGCATGTTTGTGCTCATGTCTTTTTTCTTTCTTTTTTTTTTGCTAAAATAAAGTATTTCTCCTTTTTTTTTTTTAAATTGTGTATTGATTGATTTATCATTAGATTAAGTGAGATAAAGGTAAATAATCTGTGTCTGTGGACTCCTACGGGATCAGCCACAAGAAAAGGTGTTGAGGGATATTAGGAAAAGTCTTGCAAATATATAAGCCTGGAAAATGGAGGTTAGTATTAAAAAGAAATACAGAGATCTAATTGCAAAATAGTGTTTTTGCAATGTCCAAGGCTTGTTAGGTTTTTAATTTTTTTTTAAAGTCTTATGAAAATTAATCATCTCATTCATGAATATTAAGAACAGTGGTTTGATAAATTGTTTGTTCATAATAATAAAGCTGCTGTACAATAATTATCTTTTCCTTTCCATCATTATAACACCAAATTTAATATAATTAAAAATTATTTCTCAGGAAACCAATTTTGATTTGTTAGCCAAAAAGTCTGAGTTTGATTACAATCCCAAAACATGTTTTAAAGTTTAATAACAAGTGTAATTATTATTATTATTTTATTAAGACTAAAGTGCTTTCTCTTTAGGTGAAAATAGGTAGAGTGAGCTCAGGTTGATCTTTAAAGAGATTTTTTCCTTTTTAATGGTGAAGGAGAGAGCTTGGTTATAATGTGCCCCTTATCAATTTGTATGTATGGAAAATTGAATTTCCATACAATCTATTCATTTATATAAAACAACAGCTTCAGCGGTATCATCAAACACACTGAAAATTATTTTTATTACTGCATTTCAAAAAATACTTCTCAGTAAATACATCATATTCAAGAAAATTCCCCTTTGAATCCAAATACCTCTGTCCACCAAGTTGCAATAATAAAGGGATTTTATACATCTGTTAGTACAAACAGAATAACTGAGGACTGAAACTGTGCTTATCATCGGATTAAACCTGGAAAGGGTAATTTAGAAACACAAGTCAAATTTAAATAGAAAATCTATTCCCACACACAACAAATATATTCGATATAATATAGTCACTCCGTTATATCTGAACCTCTTTTAGATTAGATTTAGCTAGCTCTTTTAGATTTAGCTAGATTTTATTGCCCCCTTTTGTAAGAAGTTGTTTTTCCAAATACAGTTCTACATTCCCTTGATTAAGGGATCTAATCAAAATTATAAGAATACGCTCAAAATATACATGATTTCTTTAAACTTTATTTATGCATATTTGACTTAGGTGCTTTTAACTTGAAACTCAAACCGGAAGAGGAAAGCGTCCTCCTTAGGCGCAGACCGTTTCTTTTCAGGTCAAAGCAGTACGCGTTTTCGGTAGAGGTAGCAGTAAGATTAGTCTTCAGAGCAATTTTAGCGTTAAATATCTTTTAACGCATTTGCTAAACGTGTTATTTTATAATGAGCGACAACGAGAAAGAGTTCAGGGAGCAGGTGAGTTCACGATTCATGACAATCAGCGTTAGGACGAAATAAGCTGTTAGCTGCATTTGCAGATCTGTTTAACGGCTATATTTTCTTTTTAAACAGGCCTCGAAATTAGTAAAAGTCGAGTTTATACAAGGATATTAAGCACGTTGTGTGAATTATAGACTTAGATTCTTAAAGTTTATTGGGGCGTTTATGTGAAAATAAGAGGGCTGGCGCTTGCTTGCTAAGCTAAAGCGTGCGGCCTGCTAAGCGCAGCGGTCGGTAGAGGAGGCCGCCGCCTGGCCGCGGGTGCTTTCATTTTCTCATTTACTTGTTATCTAACGTTGCTTATTGAAAATATAACTAGCCAGCAGCAAATATATGTGTACAGTTAATAGTTAGCTACCTCAACGTTCAGCTGTTTGTAAGTTGTAGTTTAGTCCCAATGAAGGCCAGTTAAACGTAAAAAGTGCACATTTTCAGTCCTAATAATAATGTTTCCTGGTTTTTCTTGATGTTTTTTTTCCCTTTTCTTTTCATTTTTTTTTTTTTTTTTAAATTTCTGGTTTTAACAGACACCAACATGCCTTATCACCCTTGTTTGTTCTTTGTTAAGGTTGAGGTTGGAAGAAAGAAAAAGGCGGAAGACGTTTCAGATGTGAAGTTATTGTTGTTTGAAGCTGATGGTGTTGATGCATGCTAATGTATGGGAGAGATGCTGAAAAAAGAAGCGATCAAGAGCTGTCCCCGCGTCTAGTGTTGTAATGGCAGATGGTAAAAGGGGGAAGAGGAGGAAAAAAAGAAGTCATATATTCAAACGGAAGAAAGAAGAAATGAAGGGTTGTTATGAAGTAATGAAGTTAAAGAAGTTATGAAGTTAAGATGAGAAGTTTTCCAGGGTATGAGTAATTTCCTAACAGCCTGCTATGTTATTACTCTATTTCATCCTATTATTTTTCTCTATAGCATGCATGATTTTCCCTCTCTGTATCAGCCACATCACTGGTCAATTCCTCCATTCTTTATTTTTAATTAACTTTTTGTGCAGTCAATATTTAAGCTACATTTCTTAATATCTGCTTGAAATATCTTTAGTATTTCACCTAATTCCTCAATATTTAGTCTCAAACCTGTTAAATGCGAAAATGTGGTGAACTTCTTCTGAAAAGGGCATTGAAGGTGGTGAGCGGTGTCACCTCCAGGCCCTGTAGTGTTGTTGTTTTGGTACATTTGGCTTTAGAGTGTTTCTGACATCTGCAGTCTGGTTTGTTCAGGACTCTCGGGCCGGCTCGCGGAGCCCATCCCCTGGAGGCTCACCTAAATCCACTAGCCGCTCACCAGCGCGCTCCAGAGGTGGCTCCCATCATTCCAGATCCAAATCTCAGTCCCGATCTAGATCTCGGTCAAGATCTAAATCCAGGTAAGTCAGGTTTCTGATTACTGAATTCTTGTACATAACAAGATAATCGTGTGAGATTTTGGTTTCCTTACCTGTGATTTTGTCTGCAGGTCTCGATCCCATCGAAGCTCACGCAGACACCACTCCCGTTCCCGCTCTCGTTCCCGCCGGCGCCGCTCCAGGAGCCGATCTCGTAGCTCTGAGTACCGCCGGCGCAGAAGCCACAGCCGCTCTCCCATGTCGAATCGACGCCGACACATTGGCAACAGGGTATGGCGCTACTTTGTTAACTTGTACTCAAGGTGTTTATGGAGATGCGAGTCATCAATTTTTAGATTAAACTGTTTAATGTTGACTGTGTGATGTATAGTTTAAGGTGTGTGTGTTTGTGTGACATTGTGAAATATGTTGACATATGTCACAATCATGAATTTCTCATCTTAAATTTTATTTTTTTGTCCCCACACATCAACGTTTCTGCTCACAGGCCAACCCAGACCCCAACAACTGTCTGGGTGTTTTTGGTTTGAGCCTCTATACCACTGAGAGGGACCTAAGGGAGGTTTTCTCTAAGTATGGCCCGTTGGCAGATGTCAACATTGTGTATGACCAGCAGTCACGTCGATCCAGAGGCTTTGCCTTTGTCTACTTTGAGAACTGCGAGGACTCCAAGGAGGTAAGTAGAATAACATGGGAATATGTATTTAAAAACTTTAAACAGTTTGCTTATTCGTCCTAATATAGTTAACCTCTTTGCTGTTAAAAAGCTATTTTAGTTCAAACTAAACTTCAAAGAGCACATCCTTGGTTTTGTACAGGGTGAACAATAGTAAGTAAAATAGCATAAAAGACAAATGTGAAAGTGAAACTTGTTTGATTATGCAGCTCGTCTGGTCCGTCCAGTCTGCTGTTTAGTGTCTACACAAGAGTGAAACAATTTGCAATGCAAACAATTTCAGTTAGTCTGCTTCTGACTGTGCGTGTGTGTGTGTTTATTTTAGGCCAAGGAGCGAGCTAATGGAATGGAGCTGGATGGACGCAGGATCCGAGTGGATTTCTCTATTACCAAACGAGCCCATACTCCCACTCCAGGAATCTACATGGGACGCCCCACATAGTGAGTGCTTGTCCACTGGGGAGCTTGAGATATTATACGGTTACTTGAGCAAAATTGATACACTGTCATTTGTTTTCAGTGGTGGTGGTGGTGGTGGTGGTGGAGGCGGCGGTGGCGGCGGCTCATCACGTCGTGTCTCAAGGGACTACGACAGGGGCTACGACAGAGGCTATGATAGAGGCTACGATCGTGACTACGATCGTTACGATGACCGCGAGTACCGTTCATACAGGTTGGTGCTTTTTCCAGCACCGTTTGTATCCCAGTGTTGATCATGAAGATTTGATAATGATGCATGATTGATAAAGACTGAAGTTAGTCAGTAACTGTAACTAAATTTTTTTTCCTCCCCTCATCCTACAGGCGCAGATCTCCATCTCCTTACTATAGTAGAGGATATCGCTCTCGATCACGATCCTACTCACCACGTATGTTCAAACCATGTTTCTGCCATTAGACTGAAGGTTTTCTAAACAAACTAATTTGACTCTATCTCTAATCTTTATGTATTTTTAAACAGGTCACTACTGAGCAACAAGAGAAGAGGCGACAGAAGTGTTACTATTTGGATGACAGTTTTTTTTTTTTCTGTTCGTTTTTGTTTTAAATCTGACAATATTATGTATGTGATTTAAAAACTCTGCATCTGTTTGTGTATCAAAAGTTTAACAAAATTGATCCAAAAGAACCCCCTAAATTTCTCCCTGAGCACAAAAAAGTAATCAGGGAATCATGCTGCACCAAGTCTGTGCAAAGAATCAGTTTTTGTTTTTTTCTGAAAAATGAAAAAAAAAATTTTTTGAGTACTCTGTGTGATCAAATGAATTGAATTGAAAGCACAGTCAGTCGTTGTAAAAAGGCTACGATGTGCTCAGTTGTTCTTGGTTTCTTTTGTTTTGTTTTTTTTATGTATCATAGCTGGATTTTTCTGTGCCAGTTTTACACTTTCTCATTTTGCTCTTTGTTGGTAGGTGATTTGTTAAACTGTCGTGAGCCTAGTTTGCCCCTCATTAAGTTTTAAATGCCATGTTTCTTTTTCAGTTTGTTTTTGCTTGATCGAACGTCCACTTTTGTTTGTATATAAGAAATTAAAAAAAAAAAAAATACTTTGACCATGCTGTGCTCTTTCTATTTAAGATATGCTTCCATTTTTTTTCACACCTAAATTGTGTTATTATCAAAATTGTCAGAGTTACTGGTTAAAGCATTAATTATTGAACATTATTTGATTAAACTAATGTCTTCCACCAGTAAGAAAAGTATTGCTTGCTTACTACTAACAATATAAAAACAAATGTTTGGGTTTTATTTTAATAAATTACAGCAACAGCTACACGCAGTCATAAGCACTGCTGCTCCCTTTAGGGGTCGGCACAGTGGATCATCAGCCTCCATCTCATCCTATCTCTAGAATCTTTGTTACAGCAATGCTGTAAATTCTCCACAACATTTGTGAATCTTTGCTGTGATGGTTTTGTTTTCCTCCTGCCTGTCAGCTCCATGTCCTTTGTCCATTATATTCCTCTACAATCCACTCAACCTGATCTACTCATCTAATGTACTCATAATCTTGTCCATTCTGGTCCCTCCTAATGAAAATCTTTCTGCTGTCCTTTTGTCACAAAACACCCCTGTCGCTCATCTTCACTCCACCTTGCCTGCCCTCTTCTTCACTTCTTGTGCACTTTCTGTTGCTATGGATAGTTGATCCATGTGGGGAACAGGCTAAGCAGAGAAGCTCAGACCTCTCTCTCTCCAGCCACTGGGACACCAAAGCATTCTTAGGATATATCTGAGAGACATCTCTCCAGCATTTCTTGCTTCTGCTGGCTTTTATTCCTCTTCTCTTCAGTGCATACTTCAACCTCTCCAGGCTGCCTCTCCTGCTCCCTACATTCACTTAATTTGTGAGGACATTGTATTTTGAAAAAGTAGACCCCTTTCTGTTGTTGTCCAGCGTATTTTAATAAGAAATTACCTCAGATATCCAGTTCTATCGAAGCTAGTTCAGAAGTAAAGTCTTTTTATGGGTTCTGGCCATACTGACAATACTGACTTCGTGTTCTTGAACGCATTACGCACACGTCACGGTGAAACAGACCGCGGAGTAATTTTAAATACTCACGAGACGACTCACGTATCGTATAACAAAAGAAAGGCAGAAAAGTGCATTTTAAATTAAATAATTTGAGGCAAAATAAAAAATATATGTCCAAGTTGAGTTATGTCGTGGCATTTCCAGCTCTTCGCCCGACCAATCAGAGAGCCCTTACGTCAAAACACTTCCGCTTTGCTCCCCAGCTTGTCTTTCCAGTAGAGCGGCCGGTGTGAACACGCATCAGGAGTGGACAGCACGTAGCCTGCAGGTTGAGAACAGACATTAAGGTAGCAAAAGAGACGTTTTCTTAGCCAAATAAATGTTGGTGTCTTTGTAAAGTTCGGACGGTACAAACAGGACTATGTATTCTGGTTTAAATTTTCCCATCTGCTAGCTAGGAGTGGTTCCAGTTAGCTACTAGCTAGCTTTAGCATGCTGTGTTTGAATGAGCATATGACCCTACACGTTTTTAGTGGAGCCAGCTGACATGCAGCAGAGCCGAGGAGTTGGTTAAAAAAAACTCTGCTTTTTTTTGGTATCCCAACACCAGTGTCTTAATCTGACCAGCTTGTTTTCAATCTCGTAGATGCCTCCAAAGAAGACAGAAGCTCCGAAGCAACCTCCATTGATTGGACGATTTGGAACATCCCTAAAAATAGGAATAGTGGGATTACCTAATGTTGGGTATGTAAATGTTATAGTATTTTTTTCTAGCTGAATGAGTGGGGGAAAAGTGTTAAGCGTCACCATTCTCTCTTAATGCTGTTGCAGGAAATCCACATTTTTCAATGTGCTGACTAAAAGCCAAGCTGCTGCAGAAAACTTCCCCTTCTGCACAATTGACCCAAATGAGAGCAGGGTACCCGTTCCTGATGAGCGATTTGATTTCCTCTGCCAGTACCACAAACCTGCCAGGTGTGTATTGCAACAGCTGGTTTGGAGATGTAAGGACATCTGCATCATCTGATGATCTTCCTTGTCACTTCAGTAAGGTTCCCGCTTTCCTGAATGTTGTGGACATTGCTGGTCTGGTGAAGGGAGCTCATTCTGGACAGGGACTCGGAAACGCCTTCCTCTCTAACATCAGTGCTTGTGATGGGATCTTCCATATGACTCGTGAGTTACAGTTGCTGCATAAACTACTGCAGCTGCTGTGTAGTAACAGCTGAGAGAGCACAGGTGTCAGGGCATGCTGGAAATAAAGGTCTTATGGGGTAATAGGTCCATCTTAAGAACTTTTCTCAGTGTACTTGTGGCTTTGACTAGGACTGGGAATTGAAGCCTAGTTCCAAACTGTTTCCATCTACAGTTTAAAGGTGTATTCTGATTCTGAACCCTTAACTGGATAAGCAGTTGAGAATAAAGACTTTAAGTTAAAATTAAAAAATAAAGAAGGAATCTTTATCAGGGTGACAAATATTATATTAGAAGTAAAATCTGTTTGTTAAATCTGAGCAGTTTGTGTTTATGTTTTGTTTTTTTGGTTTTTTTAATCTCCAAGACCAGAGGTGTTATCCAGCATTGTCTGATTTTGCATTTGTGTCCATATCTCAATGATTCTGTTTCATAAATTGGTATAATGAAATTTGTGGTCATTTGAAGGTAATGTTAGGCAGATCTTGAGAGACTGAAGAACAATTAATTTTGTTTGTTTCCCTCTCACCAATTAGTCAATAAATAATGAAGGCAAATGAAATAAAAATGCAAAATAATTGGCTCTTGGCTTGTTGTTAGTTTCACTTTTCAAAAAAGTGAAAGGGGACATCAATTTGCTTAGAAATAAATTAGCAGAATTGAAAATTTAAAATGTTTTAAATTGATTAATAATTTATTAATCTTGCTGTTGCTGTACTTCTCCAGTGAAAGTATTTGCATTTTTTGTCTTCAAGCTATGTCGTTGCATCGACAGTCTGCTGACGCTTGTTTGTGTTAAGGTGCGTTTGATGATGAGGATATCATCCACGTGGAGGGCAACGTTGACCCGGTGAGGGACATCGAGATAATCCATGAGGAGTTGCGGCTAAAAGATGAAGAAATGATCGGTCCAATTATCGACAAACTGGAGAAAACTGCTGTCAGAGGAAGTGACAAAAAACTAAAACCTGAATATGTAAGTGAATTTTTTTTGTAGAAGCGTTTACTTTTTGTCTTTTGTTGATTCTGAATTAAATCGGTCTGTATATGCTTCTTCACATGCTTCTCTTTGCTTCAGGATATCATGCTGAAAATAAAAAACTGGGTGGTAGAAGAGAAGAAGCACATCAGATTTTACCATGACTGGAATGACAAAGAGGTACTGATGTGTTCCAGTGTAAACAGTTTTTCTCCCTTAGACCCTATTTGAAACGGCTTTTTCATAAAGAACTTCATCTCTAACTTTTCACAGATTGAAGTTCTGAACAAGTACCTGTTTCTGACTTCCAAGCCCATGCTCTACCTGGTTAATCTTTCAGAGAAAGATTACATCAGGAAAAAGAACAAGTGGTATGTTTGCTTTCACCCTGCGTGTCTACATGTCGCATATATTAATCTTACCGTCATCGCATTTCTTTGCCATTTGAAATAACTCATCCTGCGGCCTGTTGTTCATCAGGTTGGCAAAAATCAAGGAGTGGGTAGATGCTCATGATCCTGGCGCTATGGTCATTCCTTTAAGTGGAGCTTTGGAGTTTAAATTGCAGGACATGGAGGAGGAGGAGAGGAATAAATACTGTGAGGAACAGAAGACACAGAGGTATTTGGTCATTAGTCTTTAAGTTGTTAATATCATGCTAAACTTGAAGGGTACTTTCTTTATGGGTGTACTGTGAAGCAAGCAGTCTCTGTTATTGTAGGTGCAATTCCAGCAGGGCAGAAGAAATGTGTAGATGCCTTTAAATGCATTGCTCCCTGAATACATGCACATGTCAGTGAGAATGCAATGCACAATTTGTGCTGCTGTAACTTTCACAGCAGGGTTTATTCATGGGTAATAGTAAGGAACGGCTCAACAGGTTGCATGCATAAAACAGTTTTATTTAGGCAAACTCTGTATTGCAATCAGAGGAATAATTGGGGAAGACATGGCACTTTGAGGTGACTTTAAACTGAATCACACTAAAAACTTTGATTTTAAGTTCATGGCTCACTAACCCTTTAATCACTCTTTGTAGTTGCACCTTTCTGCTGTAATGATATTAAGTGGCTGCAGGCAACTTAATACTGAGTAATTAATTAAAGTTTGCACTGGTCCTTATTTACTAATGTGCTTTGAAACATTCGTACCCTGTGCAAAAATTGAATTTGCAAACCATTTTTTGTTTTGTTTTGTTTGTGCGTTTTTAGTGTTTTGACCAAAATAATAAAGACCGGCTATGCAGCGCTGCAGCTGGAATACTTCTTCACAGCAGGACCAGATGAGGTGCGAGCGTGGACCATCAGGGTGAGTGTTTTGACGTGTGTGTGTGTAACCTTTTTAAAAATACATAATCAACTCTTGTGATTGAAGATAAACCACTCTGATAGTTTTGAATTTTAGAGATCTTCACTGAGTTTAAAAAATAAAAAACAGAATTTATTCAAAGAATATTTTGGAAAGCTTAATTTTCCAATGTTTTTTTTTTCCTAATTTATGATTAGAATTTTGGCTTGTATTACAATTCCAACATATTGCATCATTTTTGTTATTTTTTTTTCTGACAATCAGCTTCACTTTTGTTTTCAGTTATTATATTTAAGTAGTCAGTGAAGATCTGACTTGTAAAACGGAGTGATGGAAACATCTGACATATAGATTTTTAAATATATGTGATAATATATTACTTTGGCTTTTGCCATTTGGTGTCTTCAACAGTTCTATATTTGAATACTGGTAGAAATTGTATTGTTTCTTTGTTCAAAACAGAGCCCTGAAGTAAATTTTTGACAGTTGTCATCATTTTGTGATGAGATCAGGAGCACAGATTGTTACTTTTGCAGAATTTCTTAAATGTGATGCATTTAATAAATGCATATTTTATTTATAACATG